GTCAAAATGCAGTGTGCTGAACAACGATTACCTTTAGTAGGTATAAAAGACATTCAGCATCTTCTGGACTCCGGCTTCTAACTGCAGGGAGGGATCTCACTACTGACTTAGAACAACAAATTGCATAAATTGAAATGGCAGCACCTGATGGTTTAGTCTAGTTATAGAAAAGTAAATGTAGATTAAAGGGTTCAACAATTCTTTTGAATATGAGAATTGCAATATAAGATGAAGCCAATGATAAATCTGTTACATTTTCAGTGAGCATTCAGATAAGAACTTCAAGGAATGGTATAAAAATTTCATATTATGGATAGCTTTGGCATAATTTCTCCTTTGAGGGAATGTTACTTTTTGCATTTCACATGAAATTTGAAAGGTTGTACTCTAAGACTAGTATTAGATCAAAAACTGAGCAATAGTTGGTCAGGCTGAAAAAAATTCAAATGTGTTTGTGTAAGGATTTCTTGTGCAGCTTCTGCTCAATGGGAGTTCTACAAATGAAAGATGTGTAGGTGGACCTCCCCTTTTTTTTTTTCTTCTTTTTTTTCTCCCCCCCCGCCCCATCTCAAGAACACCAAAAAAATTATTCTGGTCTCACTTATAATTTTAAACAAAATCAGATTGACCATCATTATGCTGTTGCTAACATAAACCTTGTTTCTTGTATGACTAAACTCCCAATAGGGAAACACCATCTGCCTGTTGAAGGAAAAGTGAAGTCACCACTGAGACAATGTCTAACTCATTAGGAGTTGAGAAACATTAAGTCTACTGAAAAAGCTACGTAGCAATATCCTTAGAAATCTCTAACGCTACATTCAGTGCATTTGTTTGTTGAAGTTCTTCCTTTGATATTGAAGAAATTTTCCCCTATTAAACTGAAGAGTTTTCTCCAGACAAAGAGCTTTTCTCCAGAACCAAATTCAGATCAGGTGCCACTGCGTGAAATTTTACTAACTTCCTTAAAACAGTATATGGTCTTGGAAAATATTCTTACAGCTAAGAACACGGAAATTCAGATTGTGATAGAGCAACATAAATAATAGTGACACATCAGTATATCCTTGCATGAATAATAAGTATTGTTTACTGCTATAAAACATTTCTTAAGTGATATTTCTCCACAATATCAACAGAACTTAGAAAAAGCTGTGACCTTTTTTTCAGGCATTTAAATTTCGGCAAGTTCTAAAAGACACTTCTTTACTTTGGATTTTATTCATGTAAATATAAATATACACTTTTTAAAAAGTTATTTTATCTGAAATAATATTTGTGTACTCTCTGGTTTAGTAAAGTGCTGTAATTTTGGAAGTTAACTCTTTCTTCATTCTGCTCTAGAATGGTATTAACATTTTATAAACCAGATAAAAACAAATGAATAGCACACAAAGGAGCCAAGTTACTTACTTTGAAGTACATGTAAAAAGTATGTTTCTTTTGCAGAATACAGCTGCTTTCTAGCAGGACTGCACAGTCATTTCAGTAGTTATGAAAGGTTGGTATTTCCCCTTGACTGGTGTTAGATCCATAGGTATGGAAAGCCATCGCCTGGGGAGAGGCAAGTAGCTAGGATTCCTTCAGAAGAGCTGTCCAGCACCCTCTGTGGTGCCTTCAGTTTTCTTCAGCATCTCCCAAGTGAGAAGCGCCATGCTGAGCTGCCTTGGACACCTTCTCTGAGATCTTAGCTATAATTGGAGTGTGTGTGATTTTGAGTCTCGTAAGAGAAGTAGAACCTTTCTTTAAGCACTGAATGTGCAACATCTGTAAAGCAATTTCTACTTGACAACACTGATCATCATCTGAAGAGTGCAGTGGGTATGCAGCTTAGCCACACTTAACCAGGTACTCAGATTGATTTACAGTCTTCGTGATTTGATATTTTGCTAGCATTTTATGGTGGTATGGGCCCATGAAAGAACAACAATCTCTGTTAGCAAAACGTGGTGGTGTTATAGGTGGATATCTCTGATTCATGATGCTGGAGCAAATGAATGCTTTAGTACAACCCCATTGTTAGTTGTCAATGTGAATGTACATTCGTCTTGATGTTTCTGAGCCAATATTTCCAGTAGAAACTGAAAGGTCTGTATTTGACCGTTAAAACTGAGAGCAAAATTGCAAAGGACTTCATGGAAGTAGGAAATCAAAGCATGCAGTGATATGTGCAATCATGAAACACTTTGCAGAGATGTCCATGGCAACTAAAAGTCCTAACTTTATGGGATAATAAAAATCTCAATAGAGATCTCAATAGAAATACTGGCTTTATGGCAAATTGTGATTCCTTTCTCCTCTCCTAACCTAACGTTTTCATGTTCCACAGGCTATAAATTACTAATCTCTTTCTTTCCATTAGAAGATAAGCACCTTATCACCTCTCCTCCTTTCTAACATCCTTATCACTCCACAGGCAGCAAGATCTTTACTCTCAGGTGGTCTAATCGATACATATCTAATTAAAGGCAAAGCATTTTTTCTCAACTTGCATTCAGCTTTGAAGTATGTTGCTTTGATTTCAGACCTGAAGAACAGCTTCATGTGCCTGAAAGTTCTCCTTTTTCCAACTGTACTAGTTGATCAAATAAAATATACTACCTCTGTCCACAAACTTTGCCTTGCCTGTGTACCGGTGCATTCATTTGTTGTTAGTGAAAAAGAGAAGACAATTTTTCATGGAATTAGTTAAAAGGTATGTGTGAGGACTGCAGCTCTTCAGAGCCTTGAAGATTAGGACAAAACATGATGAGACAGAGAAGAAAAGGATTCAGTAGAGACTAAGGTAGATAACAACTGGATTAGCAAGAAAAATAATTTTAGGGTTTATCTCTTAAATGGGGACATTTTGTGTGAAAGAGGTACCAGAGATGAGAAACCTGAATATATAGGCAGGAGGTAGTGCCAGCATCAAATTGTTTAAAGAGCATTATTCTACTTATAATTTTCGTGAATGTCTTAGGAACATTTCTATGTAGTAAGAGAGTAGATTCTCCAAGGTTATATAGGATATAAAGAGAAAGAATGATCATTCTAATAAAAAAAAAAAAAAGGCCATAAATTCTCATCAATTAAGAGGAAAAAGGAGAGGAAGAAACATTATGTGCGTAACACTGAAATTTTCAGGCACCTCTAAATTGCATAGCCAGCACTTATGCAGAGATTTACTGATTTTTTTTCAAATGTTACAAGGGTCGCATTTTCACAATTAATTGACCTGACCCATATGACACTTGCTAGTTTTATGACAACTGTATTTTTTTTCCCTAGTCCTCTGTTTCACTAGTTCCAACAGGTTTTAAGAGTGGGTTATGTTCTTTGCTGTGAGGAAATGTTTGAAGAAAGGTAATGAGAAAAAATTCCACTGAAATTACCTAATTAGATTAGAGGAAAAGAAAATAGATCCAGGGTACCTCATCGCGCCCCCAGAGCACCCTTTTTATAAACTTAAGGCATTTTTAGTACTTTGGAATTATCAGCTGAAAGGCACTTTTTTGATGCAAATAATTTGCTTCACTGTTGTAGTGTGTGGCTGGAAAGGAAGTAGAAGGTGTACATTCAGTGCTTGGAGAAGGGAAATCCCTGTCCCCTAAGCAGATGATCCTGCAAGATGCAAGTTCTAAATTTCTTACCTTCTTGTGGCTTGCCTGCTGCAGGGGAATGAAATGGGGTTATGTGGAATTTAAAGAACTTCTGTAGGGAGCCCCTCTATGATCCTATTCCTTATCGTTTTGTTTAGTAAGACTGTCTTGTTGGCAATTGTTAATAAGGTCTGTGATGGTTTGGGGTTTTTTTTCCAGCTAATTGCTCTTTTGATTTGGGCTTTTTGGGCTTTTTAAAATCTGCGATAGGATTGCTATTTGTAATATGTAATAACCACAAGAATCTCATAGAGTTTTCTGAGGTCAGACTGTCACTATGCTTTTGTTTGCTTATGCTGAGCTAGTACTTGGCAACTTGTGTAGTAGCTCAGCCATTCTCTAAATTAACAGGTTGTTCTTTGTATTTGAAGTGATTGATGTGATTGAAGTGGTTAGCATGTGTATGCCTAAATAAATTACTTTGGGGCAGAGAGGGATCCAAATGGAGAAAACTGGGTAGGTCCAAAGAGAGTTTGTTTTAAGAACCATGGTGTGTTCAAGAATGTGGAAGGGACTTAAGTGAGAATAAAATCTCAGACCAGAAAAAGGTACAATTTTACTCTAAAATCTTTGCTAATGAAGGTTCAAGGATGTACTTTTTGTTACATTTCTCTGGAGGCAAAAGCCCTGGTGCAGATGCAGACATACTGAAAAAAATATCAGTTGCTGGTACAACAATTTATTTTTTTGTGATAGCAATGTTGGGTCAACCCTCCTGGGTTTTGGCTTCCTAAGTAACTTCAGAGCCTATAGAAAAAGGATCATTTAAGTGCTTAAATTAATTTTAATAATATTGCGAAATCACTCGTCTCAAACTTCTTTTTCGAAGGACTTAGAGACTACATGGGTTTTTTCTTAAGAGTCGGTGCTCCTATTTCTGTGAATCAGCAATAGTTCTTCTGAATCTTTTTACAGGGCTTCATTATTCGGCATTCGGAGAATCCTGTGTCCCATAGAATTTTTAGAGTTCACCTGCTGGTTAAAATCCCGTTGCATGTCAGCATGTGGAAGTAGTAGATCAATTGTTTATTTATGCTTAACTTACATACTTACAAATACAGTCTAAAAATGTATTTGTACATCTTTGTACATCTGTGTACAGATTCTTTAGTGCTTAAAGCCTGATTCTTTACATCTGTGTACGCACAGTTTTTGTTATTTTTTCCACAAGTGATGACGTAATAAGATCATGGGAGGACCCTGACTCAAAAGTCTAAATGAAGCTGCAAAATGCTGTTTTTCGCCCTTGAACTACCTTTTATTTGCACGTACCACTGTATCATTGTATGACATTGGCTTTTGAATACACTTGTATTACATAAAGCTAATACATTGTTCTTGATTCTGCTTTGCAGTACAGAATTGGACAGCTGTACATGATAAGCAAGCATAGCCATGAGCAGAGTGACCGAGGTGAAGGTGTGGAAGTGGTGCAGAATGAACCCTATGAAGATCCAAACCATGGCAACGGTCAGCTAACAGAAAAACGGGTCTATCTCAACAGGCAAGTGCAATAAAACTGTTTCTCTCAGCATGGGCTGTAATAAAAATTTGCATGGAGTATCCCTTCCAGGCAATAGCCTTGCTGTTTCAAGTAGAACATGTTCCCATGCCGCTTCTTGGTAGCCGCAGGAAGAAGAAGGTGGGATAGATCAGTGGCTTGAAATAGAGGGATTAGTTGTCATTTTTTCTAGAGTATCTTCTCTAAAAGAAAGAATTATAACTTGAAGTTAAGGATGTACTGAAAATCAGAACTTTTCTTTTGTTTTACACTTAAGTCTTTGTCATTCTGTTTTCCAAAACTGGGGGGGGGGGGATGACCAAAAAACTAAAAACCAAGAACAACACCCCACCCCCCAAAAAAACCCCCAAAACCGAACCACTAAAATGATTTAAGGATTTCTCACCTCATGATAGTGTCACAAAGCCAGTATCCCATTTTTGGCGACGAGATTTGCTCAGCAAAGTTAATTGACATTATGAATGACCATTAGGCTGTACAATGATGACCTTCTGTACCAAAATTAATAGGCTTAAAGACATGATGGAAAAAATTGCTTTTGTTTCCCCAAAGTTCCATCATTTCTTAAAGTGAAATATGTGTCTCTTCCTATGGTGAAATTATACTGCTGGGGATCAATGCCTCCACACTCAAAGGCCAGAGATGTTTTAATATACATATACATTTTTGTGTCCTGTGAAATGTATTGCTAATCTGTTCGTATTTTTACTACTTCTGATCAAATTGAATATCACTGCTTTTCTGAAGTTCTTCTATTCCCCCGAGCCTGTTCCATTTTATTAAACTTATGCTCTGCAGCATTTCATAGTGGACATAAAAACACTATAGCTATTGCTTCTAAATTGCAAGATACTCCTCCACTGCAATCCTGACATATCTAACCTTAACTCAGGCTAAATTGAATCACCAGTAATGTTGCACGCACACACACACACACAAGTCCAATAATATATGTCGTGCCAACATTTAATATTATTGTGATAGTAACTCTGTTCTCTCACAGGGTAGATACAGAACTTGGGAAAAATCAATAAACGTGTTCCTGTTGTAGAGCTCCCAGAAGTTGCGGGTTTTTTTAATGTTTCTGGATATTTCTTTCTTTCACGTTAAAAAGAGAGAAGGCTTTAAGCACTGAAGAGCATATTCAGAATTACCACTTCAGGGTAATTCAGAGTAACCGCAAGGACTGTGTTCTAGAAAGCCTGTACAAGACATACTTGGGAAGCATGTAGTTTCTGGTAGTGTAGGCAATGGAACAAAGGATCTCTTACCCAAAGACAGGTACAAACATTGACAAGGAATATCTGTGTGCCTACAACTTGGGAAGTTTACCTAAAGCTATGGTGGATGTTTGAAGCTGGGCTCACTGAGTTTAATGGTAATTGTGAATACTCCTTGATAATGATCACCAGAATTGCCATGTGAATCTGGTTTTGGTGTCACAATACCACCAGATATTGCATTACTATTAAAGCTTTGTGGAAAGGATCAGCAGGTTTTCAGGCAACTATGGATTTTGCTGGGAAGCCAGGATCTCTCTGGAAGGCTTCACTCAAGGAGACATGCTGCCATACAAGATGTGCTGTAAACTTCTCTGCCTGCCTTCCTTGAGGAACAGGACTCCTTACACCAGCACAGTTCTCCCTTCATCTTTTCGTCTTCCAGGGTCCACTGCCCTAATAAACTTGCTAGCTTTACTTCACTTTATTTTGCTCTCTGAAGAAATTTTAGCTTATATATTCAGGATGGTTTCTTGGAAAGATTTGTGCATTATTTTCATTTATCTTTTCTTGCCTGATACTACTTTAATTCTTGCAGAGGATCTTCTTGTTTACCAATGGTTTCAGCTGGAATGCCTTTAAGAAACACTTCCTCCCTATGTGCTGAAAGTCTGAACTTCATCTGGGGAAGGAAGAAATAAAAAAAAAAAAAAGAGAATGTGATTCACGGATACCTGTGCTGCTAAAATAGAAATACTATATTTTCTTTCTCTGAATGGACCCTTGGAACAATTCATGTGTTCCTATGACTGTAACTTGCTAGAAACTCTGAGTATAATGTGTGTTTTGGTCATAAAATTATTTGTTATCGGCAAAGGTAGGTAGACAGGCAAATACGCTAAAAACAACAATAACCAAAAAAAGTGCAAAATGAGCAGCTCTATGTTAACAAAGACATTACAAGTAAAATTTTCTAGTGTCAGTGTAAGCCTTAGTTATATTCAGAATTGTTTATTTTCTGCTGAAGCATTGTTTTCAGAAGCTGAAAGTCTGCATTCTCTGGTATTTATTATTTAGGCATCAGAGTAAAGTTTAGCAAGGGTAAGGGAGGGAGCAGAGAGATAGTCATAAAAAGACACTGACAGAGGCTGACAAAATAAACAAAAGATCTGATACAGTGAAGTCTATCATGCAGTATGTAAAATGCTGCTTAAAAGACTGTACACAAGAAAGGTTTATGTAAAGAAAAGAATCTGGTTTTGAGCAATGTCATCAAAGAGCAAAAGTCAATGCACGTGACTTGGAATCTTTAGATAACGTACTAACGTCTGCATTTTGCCTCTGGACAAATACAATATTTATGTGTAGCTAGATCATGGTTAAATAAGACTTAATGATCCAAACTCTGTATTTTCCTCAGAAATTTGCTAATATGGAAAGTTAATTTACTTTCTGCACACAGTTATCTAAACATAACTATTTCAAACATTTACACTTGGAAAACTGAGGTTTGAAAGCATCTACTTTAGTTCAGTCAAGATTCAGTCTTAGGCTGGGTGATCCACTCGACACATTCCCAGACTAATACAATTTTAACCGAGTCTCTGAAGTACAGTGATATTTGTGGTCTCCAAAAGTCTGTCTTCCTTTGAATGACTAGTACTGCATCTTTGTTACTGGCAGCTTCAGTGGTTATAACTGATGTCGTTAAGAAAGGGTTGAAAGACGAATTCTCATGAACTTTTTAAAACGTGTGTTTGTTCATCACTTCTTTGGTACCATGAGTGACCAGAGTTCTGGAAATGAGAGACCTAAGATCCATGGTAAAGAAAATGCTCCCACTCTTCTGTAGTATTATATAATTACCCTTTAATGTTCTTTCCATGTGCTGTATCCACATCTTTCATTTCTTATTCTACTGCTGTTGTACCACCGCACTGGTAAGTTATCTTGACAGATTGAGCTCTGAGCTATGACATCAGTTCCATTAATTCTCTTCACTTTTCTGATTTACTTTTCCCATCAGCAAAATGGGACTAATACTACCTACCAGCCTCATAGAGGTATTTTGAGTGATGTGTTAATTTTAATACAACAGCTTCCTACTCAAGAGTTGGTGTTGGTAGCGTGGGAAAAACTGCGTGCTAGGTGAGTTGAACGTAAGGGTTTGTGCGCAGGCAGAGAATATGGAGGAAGAAGAAATAGTCTCTAGGAAGAAATAATGGAATCGGGATCAAAGTGGACTGAAACCACGTATTTACGCATGACCTCTTATTAGAGAGTGCCTCCCTGTGGTTAAGAGTACTGTGACACAGATACACCTTGTATGGTCTGACCTGCTGAGTTTGTCCATAACCAAAGGTTTGAGGCCATAAATTCTTGAAATCTGCAACCTCAATTTAAATCTGATCAGAGGTTATTGCAGTGGCACCATATTGCTCACTTTGAGAGGGGAACAAACAGACTTGGTTTCATATATGCTTGTGGAGAAAGCTGAGACAGAATGCGTAGTAATGAGATGAAAATACTGAAGTCTAGGTATTGCTGTAGCCTGTGAAATACCTGTCAAATTATGAGCACGTTTGGAAGTATCTTCTTTTCTACAATACTCATAAGTCATAACATATTCTGATCTTATATTTTCTTTTTATTTTCAGCAAACTGCCTAGCTGGGCTAGAGCAGTTGTTCCCAAAATATTTTATGTTACAGAGAAGGCTTGGAATTATTATCCTTATACAATCACAGGTAAGGAATAAAGCAGAAATGATTACCGACTTGTACTTTTTGGATAGTTTAGCTTATCTTCAGAAGCTCCAAGTTACATATTGAGCCACAGATGCCAAGTTACTTTAACAACTCCTGTTGAACTGCGTATATTTTTCCATCTTACATTGACTAATATCAGGAAATAAAGATTATAGACTATGGATAGGTAAACACTGGGGTGTTGTATCTATGCAATTTCTTCCTTGCAAAGAAAACATCAGGTGCTTAGATTCTGTGCTGACTTGTACTCTTTATTGTCCCATAGACTTTAGTCAAATATAAATCAGCAGATTATCTGATGCAAATTTTTTTATTATTAATGTATGTTTACTGTAAGGATCTTGCATCATTGTTTTATTTCACATTTCTTTTTTTTTTCTTTTCCCTCATCATTCTTTTTTTTTACAAATGGACAATTGGAAATCAGAATACACAGTAAGTTTTTCTTCCTCTTTTTATTCTAAAAATAGAATAATTATGTGAAATATAGTAGTGGAATCCAAACTGATTCCTTCTTAATATAACTAATACATAATGCATTCAATAGTGGAACTTTATTTTAGCTATTTGTTTAAGAAATTTAAGATTAAATTTGAAGTGTTTCTGTGGGGATCCTATAAATTATTTACCTTATTTTTTATCACTTCAAAATAATTTGATACATTTTTAGTCACTGACTGTAACAAAGAGAAGCTTCTGTAAATCAGGGTAAGGCTTTTAAGGTTCCAGTTATTACGTGGAGACATGAGAACAGATTTGATTTTATTTATTGTTTTATTAACTTATAAAATGCTCATCTCTGGTATAGTATCTGGGAAACTGTACAAACTGTAGACAAAATTAAACATAATCTGGGCACGGTGCCCAGAAAAATCAGCTATTCCCTCTAGCAGAGCTAAGGCAAAATATAGCACGTAAATGATGAGAAAAATTGTTTTAAATGTGCTGGCCTTAATAATATGCAGTAAGTTTTCAGCAACCTTTGGAAGATGAGGAGGAGATGGTGAGGAAGTTCCAGGTGAAGGGACCTTTCAGAAACTCCTGCCTTGACTGAGTTTGAACTTCTGACTGTAGATAAAACATAATCCACTTGTTTTTCTTAACTCTGCAGTGCTCAAAATGTTTGTGCAGTTTTTTTAAAACCAGTAAAGAATATGGAGAGGAAAAAGATTTTAATGTGATAAATGTGAAAGAGAAAAAATAAAGGGATTTAAAGGCTCAGATCTGAAAGCTGGAGACTTATAGTTGAAACTTTGATGACCAGGTTTGAAAATCCAAAGTACCAAACTGTGCTTTTCAATATGTACTGTAGATACTTATTACATATTCTGCTTTGTTTCATGTTTAAAATTCATTTGATTGTTAGAGGAAACCCAAGTGTCCCATAATGGACAGTAGTAATGAGGGGACAGATTCTCAGCTATTTTCGTCAGAAGATACCTTCAGTAGGGCCTATCACAGTTTACATTAATTAAGGGCTTACCTTTTGATAGCAGGTTTAATCTTAGGCTGGGAAGATGACGTGCTATGTTGCATTGAAGTCTGATACTTACACTCTGTTGTATATTTTTTCTTTAACTGAAAGTCAATTGGAATTTTTTAATGTAATTTTTTTTCTTTAACTGAAAGAGACAAGTGGGAATGATTAAAGGGGTGGTGGCAGACAGAAATACATGGCTGAATTTGAAATGCAATACATAATCAAAACAGCAATGCTGTACTCATAGAATTTGAATCGTGAGGTGATCTTTATCTAATCTGATGAGACAACACCTGCAACACATTTTGGTGAAGGTCTGTAGAACGTATACAGCTAAAGAGACGTTCAAGAGCATCAGCAGAAATGATTGCAGGGTTGAAGAGACTTGTAAAGAAAAATTAAATCGGTCTACAAATGTAGAAGGTAGGCAAAACAGTCGCTAAGTGACAGTATAACTGCCTATGGGAGTTGGGGACTAATTACTCACCATGGTGCAAGGAAACAGAACTAGAAATATTGGGATGAAATTAAGGAAACTGTACTTCAGACAGAAATCTAAAATATATTTTAGTGGAGCTGATAGACTATGAAATTATCTTCAAGGGAAATAGAGAAAGTGCTTTTGCCTCAAACTGTTGAATCTAGAACAAAAGTATACCACTGGGAATAATTCCTATCCTTGTCTGGAATATTTCTCTAAATTTTGATCTTCTGTATTCATTAGAGAATTCTGAAAGAAAGAAAGAACCCACAGACATTGCCCAAAATATGTAAGATAGCCTTTTCTTAAAGATAGTAAATTCCGCCCAAAGGGTCTGTGGGACATCCTAAGAATTAAATTGAGCCTCATTTCAAGGAAAACTGATTCTAAAGGCAGGCCAATAATTGGATAAATAAAGCATAATTTTATCCAGTCAAGTCCATACTGCTATGTAGTATGTTCACACCTTACTTAACCTCCTAAGTTCCACTCTAAATAAAGAGCAAAGACCTTAAAGGCTCAGTAGTGTTATTTCAGTGTATATTAGTGATTTGGAAGAGGATGTGGACAACAGACTGAATTGTGCTGATAGTCTTAAGGTTTTTCAGTTGTAAAATATGAAGGCTGTTGAGAAATTGCATTCAAGCACATACACTAGCATTCAGAGATTCAATGCAGAATAATTTCATCAATCTGGTTTTCCTGTGAAATATTATGGATTTAATAAATAATGACCTTCTTAAGGACCTGAAATTAGGACATCTTCTAAGAAAAAAAGCTCAGCAGGCATTGAAAATAATTTCCAGAATATTGTTCTCTGCAGTGGTAGTATAAAAAGCCAAGAGTGATTGGATGCATGAAAACAGGAATGGAAATCAGAGTGTCATGATGTTAGTACTCTATAATCTGAGTCCAGTTACGATGGCATCTGCCTTAAGGAATGGTATTTGTTACACAGCAAACCCCTAAATTTGACAGCAAACAGCAGGAGATGACTGCTTGATCTACTACCAAGTCTCAACAACCATATTAATAATATGTAAAGCAAATGACACACTTAAGATAATGAGCTTAACAGAACTATAGCACAAGTGATGCTTTTGTGGTGTGTAATATGTGAAATATTGTAATGTCAGGAGAGCATTTTAAAATGTACACTATGCTGTTTGTGGAGGAGGGCCTCATTAAAACTGCAGTACAAAAGACTTCCTATCAGGAAGATGAGACATGGGTAATGTCCCAAGAAATGCTGTATCAAAAAGATAATGAGCTTAACAGAACTATAGCACAAGTGATGCTTTTGTGGTGTGTAATATGTGAAATATTGTAATGTCAGGAGAGCATTTTAAAATGTACACTATGCTGTTTGTGGAGGAGGGCCTCATTAAAACTGCAGTACAAAAGACTTCCTATCAGGAAGATGAGACATGGGTAATGTCCCAAGAAATGCTGTATCAAAGCTTGAGCTAATCCTGCTTCCTGCTTATTGAGAGGGAGGAGGAAGCAGAAAAAATACTTTCGAAGCTGAAGCCAAAGGAAGTCATCCAAATTTGGGGGTACTATTTAGAGAATAAGACACTCCTATAAAGTTCAAACCCTTGTTTTAGTGGCTGGGGCATTACTTAAGAACTGTGTGTGAGAAAGTCTCTTAAACTTAGAACAGGAGTTGCTTTGGTTTTGATCTTGTAACAAAAACCTGACAAGATATCTTGCTAAAATAAATGTTTAAGTTTTATTTATAAGTCCATTTAATATTGTGATTAGGTTGATGTTAAGCTCATAAATTTGGGATACTGTGTTTGGGATACAGGGGAGCCCTGTAGAAGTAACTCTTAGGGACTCTGCTCTGTGAGCAATTACAGGACTTGGGTACTGGTGAGTGCCTCCTGTCAAGCTAAACATGCTATTGGGAATGAGTGTTGCTGGCTGCTGGCTTTTAGAAAGAATTCCTTTGCTAGTCACAGGCTGGAACCCTTTTCACTTGCAGGATGGAGGAAAGATGCCTTGCAGCTCCCAAGAAACCCTTCTGTGCCAGTTTATCACAGCATTTGCAAATATGTATCTTTAGTGTAAACTATTTATGCTATTCTTAGATATGTGGACAAGAATGACTGAATTCTCAGGAGGCTTTCTTATTTTTCTTTCTGAGGTTGTCCAGCTAGATTAGAAATAATTAACTAGAAAGCAAACCTGTCTCTATTGCAGACCAAACGAAAAAGGATTGCATAGAAGTAAGTTTCTTTACCTGCATTGGGATATTGTTAGACAATAAGCAGCACCGAGCAAATATCCATTTGACCTGTTCAAGTGACAGTTGAGATTCTGGACAAAAAGAGAGGAGCCTCAAGCAAACAAATAATCAGATCACGAACGTATGGTGACTCAACCATGGTACAAAAAAGTCATATGATCAAAGTACACTGAAAAATGAGCCTAACAAAGTTTAGCTATCAAGTGTACAAAGAGGTTAGGAAAAATACAAACAGAATTTAAGCAAACTCTTCTGACTTTGAAAGTGCAGTTCAGGTGTTTACCAGGGATAATTTCAAATAGTTTTGCTCTCTGATCTGAACAGCTCCAGTGTTGTTAGCAATATTTCAATTCTGGGACTGAAATTTAAAAACAGCTGGATAATTTTTTTATGCATGATCTATGGCCAATTGTTAGTTTCACAATTATAAGTATATAAAGCAAAATAAAGATTAAAAATGGCATGTTTTACTCTCTGCAAGGAGGAAGAGCATTCTTTCAACCTGCCAATGTCTCAAATTAACTTAGGAATAGGATATAAATTCAGAATATTTATGAAAAACAGTTATGGAACAGAAAGCAGGAGACAACGATTCCTTTGATGATATATCACAATGACAGTAATACTTCTACAGCAAATGACTGAGGCAAATAGAGTTATTTCATCTGGTATGTGTCAAGGCCCCAGAGTGATAGTTGCTAAATGTTCCATTATTGACCTGCTGGTTTCTGATTACTTTTGAGAACAGGCATGTGCTTCACTTAGTCAGCTGCCAGTTTGTCCATGAAGTAAATTATCTGGAAGGAATGTTTTTTGTAATTGTTATTTTTATAATCAGATGACTTGAGAAGGAAAAAAAGTTGTTTCAGATAAACATTGCAAGGAATCTGGAGAGTTTTTTTCCTGTGTTCTCTTTATCTGATTACCAGTGCTTGAAATTTGGATGTAACCCATCAGTCTTCAGTGCACAAACTTTTCTCCAGCTTGAATATATGAAGAGTCTGCATCAAAAATGCAACAGAATCTGTGTTGCAGGATTAGAGCCTAATACAAAGTTACTACCAAAATTCCTCCCCTCTCATCCCCCAACTTAGAAGACAGGCTAACTGGTGACATTACTCTAGTAAAACACAGATTTGGTTCCTTTAGAGATTCTAGCAAAAGGAGGGACCTCTGTAGTATTTATAAGAAACAAATAATATATTTTTAGAAAGCTGCAAACC